TTGGAAGGTAGTGGGAGGTTGTGGAAGTGACGAAGATAAATAATTAACGCAGTTACATTCGGAATCGCTGTACAAAGAAAATGTTAACCTGAAAGGGAAAATCGTTGAAGCAAGAAATCCAGTTAAAAACTACACGGAGAAACTCTTGAAAAAATGAAAAACAGCATTCTATACGCCACAACGGTCAATGAAATAGCTATTTTATTCAAGCCTCCAAGCTGGCACATAAGCCGATAATCAGGATTAGGAACCGGCCATTTCAATTCGATCAAATGCTATTCCTAGATTGCTGGTATTCGAAAGTGGGACATCCTTTCCAATGTTGTTAGAACTTCAACTTGCAGACAACATGAAGAAACGATAAGGTAAAGTGGTTAGTTCGGAATGTGGGATGTTTAGAAGATTGTGGGTTCCGGTCTTCGGGTGCTTGTAAAAGACAAGATGTTTGGGCCGTTGACACACAAACACACACAAGAAGGCTGAGCCACGGAGATTGATCAAAGAAAATAAAGCGAGAAAGAATGGAGGGGAAATGAACGACTGAAATAAGAAAAAAAAAGGAAAGTGAATATAGGAAAGAAAGGAAAGAGTGAAAGAAAGGAAGAAAGGAAAAAATTGAGAAAGGAAGGAAGGAAGGAAGGAAGGAAGGAAGGAAGGAAGGAAGGAAGGAAGGAAGGAAGGGAGGGAAGGAGGGGAGGAAGGAAGGAAGGAAGGAAGGAAGGAAGGAAGGAAGGAAGGAAGGAAGGAAGGAAGGAAGGAAGGAAGGAAGGAAGGAAGGAAGGAAGGAAGGAAGGAAGGAAGGAAGGAAGGAAGGAAGGAAGGAAGGAAGGAAGGTAGGTAGGAAGGAAGGAAGGAAGGAAGGAAGGAAGGAAGGAAGGAAGGAAGGAAGGAAGGAAGGAAGGAAGGAAGGAAGGAAGGAAGGAAGGAAGGAAGGAAGGAAGGAAGGAAGGAAGGAAGGAAGGAAGGAAGGAAGGAAGGAAGGAAGGAAGGAAGGAAGGAAGGAAGGAAGGAAGGAAGGAAGGAAGGAAGGAAGGAAGGAAGGAAGGAAGGAAGGAAGGAAGGAAGGAAGGAAGGAAGGAAGGAAGGAAGGAAGGAAGGAAGGAAGGAAGGAAGGAAGGAAGGAAGGGAGGAAGGGAGGAAGGGAGGGAGAAAGGAAGGCAGACAGACAGACAGACAGACAGACAGACAGACAGACAGACAGACAGACAGACAGACAGACAGACAGACAGACAGACAGACCGACAGACCGACAGACCGACAGACCGACAGACCGACAGACCGACAGACCGACAGGACGACAGACAGACAGGACAGACAGACAGACAGACAGACAGACAGACAGACAGACAGACAGACAGACAGACAGACAGACAGACAGACAGACAGACAGACAGACAGACAGACCGACAGACAGACAGACAGACAGACAGACAGACAGACAGACAGACCGACAGACCGACAGACCGACACACCGACAGACCGACAGACAGACAGACAGACAGACAGACAGACAGACAGACAGACAGACAGACAGACAGACAGACAGCAGACACAGACAGATAGACAGACACAGACAGACAAAAAATAAGAAAGAAAGAATGAAAGAAAGAAAGAAAGAAAGCAAGCAAGCAAGCAAGCAAGCAAGCAAGCAAGCAAGCAAGCAAGCAAGCAAGCAAGCAAGCAAGCAAGCAAGCAAGCAAGCAAGCAAGAAAGAAAGAAAGAAAGAAAGAAAGAAAGAAAGAAAGAAAGAAAGAAAGAAAGAAAGAAAGAAAGAAAGAAAGAAAGAAAGAAAGAAAGAAAGAAAGAAAGAAAGAAAGAAAGAAAGAAAGAAAGAAAGAAAGAAAGAAAGAAAGAAAGAAAGAAAGAAAGAAAGAAAGAAAGAAAGAAAACAGGGCGGACACAGCATATCAAGCACACCTTGTGCAAATGTACAACGCTGAAAACTGGCAAGGAAGATTTCCGTGGTCTTGTGATGAGAGCGAAGTTCTTCGAAAGATCCACTATGGTGACGATAATGATAGTGGTGACGATAATGATAGTGGTGACGATAATGATAGTGGTGACGATAATGATAGTGGTGACGATAATGATAGTGGTGACGATAATGATAGTGGTGACAATGATGGTGGTGATAATGATAGTGGTGACGATAATGATAGTGGTGACGATAATGATAGTGGTGACGATAATGATAGTGGTGACGATAATGATAGTGGTGACAATGATGGTGGTGATAATGATAAAACTAATTGGGTAGGTTACTGAATGGATGGGTTACATGCATGAGTGGAAAAAAATAACTATTTTTGTTTCGATAGATTAATGAAAGATGATCAAATGGAGGGCTGACTATATGGACAAATGAGCATAGGAACATGTCGATAAATGAATTACTGAAAGCATAAAGGGTTGGGTGTATAGATGAGACGACACATGACTGGGTGGAGATTAGCCACACTTTCATGAGTGTTAGCATAAGAGGTAAACAGATAAGTATGTAAGTTAGAACAAGCAATCATAGTCACAAAGCAATACCATTTTGTCATTGTTTCAATTTATTTTGTAAATGCCGCAAGAGAAATGAATATAGGATGGAAGGGGGGGGGGGGGGAAACAAGTTTAGAAATGCCATGCTATCATGAACCAAACATACAGAAATGTCCCATTATTGTTACAACACGAAAATGAAAATAGGTAACCAATCCTTAATGTGCCTATTGGGTGTAGAGAGGAAGGCAGCATCCAAATATCAGTGTACCGAAACTGAAGTTTGGACTGGCCAATAATAAAGTTTCCTAGTTTCAGTACAGATTCGCTAAACTCGTGGCTTAGTGAGAAACTTGTTGAACCGTGCCTGGAAGATTTGCACCGAAGAATTACTGCCAGCAGAAAATGAAACCCCCAAGACGACTCTGTTACTGAGTAGGTAACCCGCTGGATTCATTAAACGTCACTACAACCCACCCAACCCTACCCCGAACGACATTACAGTGCCCAAACTAGAAGTATTTATCCAACTGATTTATCGAGTGGATGACGACGCCATGCAGCCTCTATAGGACCCACAAAAACCAGCTGTTGGCCAAACATTCTTTGCCGCTGCTCCAGTAGTGAGGTACAAACTACTCCCTTCCCAACACAACATATTAAAGAACCAGCGTCCCATTACATCCAATCCAATTGTATTTCTCAATTGACATGTAAGAGCCAGTTGACTTTCACTGGGCGAACGAAGAGACCGCTTGGAAATAGAGTGGCATAACACATATCATGGCTACATGCACAGTTGAGTGGTTTGCACAAGAATGTCGAGATCTTTCAAGAGGAAAGATCTCAGCTCTTCCGTAAGACGTCGTTTGCTTGATTCCAGACAAGTAATCGACAAGGACAGTTCTTTCGTTTCATTTACCACACACCGAACAGGCGAATGCTAAGACTGGCCGAAGCTGAGACTATTAAAATCAACTACACTGTCTTATCCGTCGTAAGCTTTCAATGACAAAAAATATTTTAAAAATCGTAACGTTCAACCAGCATTCCCTAAGGGGAGCATTAGGTTATAATTGCGACTAGGTTTGTTTGCGTGGTATAGTATGCCTTAGCCAGGTGCATGACTCTTGCAGTGTTGATGCGATCAAGACAGACTCAAATATTGTCCCGACCGGAGACGAACCCGTCTACCGGCCAGCCAATAGGCGACCCGATCGCCGAGAGATGAACCCTTATTACTAGTAGATTTTTACCCCACTAGGACATCATACAAGCGATAAACACCCGATAACACAAAGTGCCGCCATGTGGATGAGGATCACTGTGGAGAGGTCCTAGCAACCGCGTTCAGCTATTAGACAATATTTATGGTCAGGGTATATTGCGGCCCCTGGCAAGATCCAGAGTAGGGTTTCAAATAACGAAAAATTGCATCTCACAAGGAGATGACTAAATTGTCTTAATCTCTGTATTATGTAAGCAGCACGAATTTATAGTAAATTTGAAGTTACATTGGCATCACGTGACTACAGTTAACTTCCGGTAGCTAAACGAACACAATGCGTCAAGAGAAACCATTCGCATGTCAGTGGAATTTATTAAGGCTGCTTCATTATTTGTTGATGAGTGAGTGGCATTCAACCAAACCAGGACCGTACAACGAACAATAAACACCACTTGATATAAAGTGACATCATTCGGATGAGAATCACTCGGTGTAAGTCCTATAAACCCTGTTCAACCGTTAGGTTACAATAAGGCCCCCAACTAAAGACGGGGTGGAGTTTAAAAAAAACACATTTAATTGAGTCCCATATTGGGGCGAGGTACATTTTATGCTGATGTAACTCTGTAGTAGCATTCATGACGAGATACAGCGAAATATACCTGGCAAAAATGTGTGAAATGTATTGTTTGTGTCCACAATATTTGAACATAAGATATTGTACAATACTAGGCCTGATTAGGCAGCCACTTGAAAAAAACAACTCCAAATTATAAGCCTGTTTGGACTGCCACGTGAGAAAATGTCCAAATTATAAGCCTGTTTGGACTGCCACGTGAGAAAATGTCCAAACTCTTTGCCTTTTTAGACAGCCACGTGAGAAAAACTCAAAATTATTTGCCTTTTTAGACAGCTACGTGAGAAAAACTCCAAATTTCTTTGCCTTTTTAGACAGCCCCGTGAGAAAAACTCCAAATTCTATGCCTGTAAGAAAAACTCCTTTGCTACAGAGATATTTTAAAGTATCCAAGCCTGACCAGGTGCGTTCCAGTGGAAATCTTGCTATCTGGATCAGTGGTGAATAGGCATCGTACCATAGCCAACACAGAGGCTTTAGTTCTTCTCATCTGAAAAACCCTGACAGTAAGAACCTTAAGAAGAAGAAGACTAGCTAATTTGTTTGTTATAAGAGAAATGATCCTTTCTGTAAGTTACGTTTATTTTCTTGAAAACCTCAAACTTTGCCAGCACAAACCTGTCGAAACTAATTTTGTGGGAAAGCAGTATGATCAGTAGACCTGGAAATGGCGTTTGCAACAACAGTGCAAGGGAGGTAAGTGTTTTATAACCACCAGCCTTGTATGCCACAGTTGTTGTTCTTTCGATTCCGCTGATATAAGTGATGTGACTGTGCTTCGTAATTCAGTAATACCTTGCTGGAGTTCAGCTGAGGAAAGGGTGGAGGTGGTTGGGGGGGGGGGGTGTTGGGTAATTATGCTGCAGATCAGTACCGCTGACCGAGCAGTTACAACTTCGGACTCTCAAGCTGGTGACCCGGGTTCGACGCCCCGGTAGGGTGCTGGGGTGTTTTCTGTCGGGGGCCAAATTAAACACCCTAGCCTGTGCAGTCCGTGTCGACAGCACTATACGTGCTGCCCTAAATCTTCAGGTTTTATACCCCTAGTCTTCCCAATGTGGGTTGCAATTTTTCGTTATTTGAAGTCCTACTCTGGCTCTTGTCAGGGGCCGCAATATAGCCGGATAATAAATAAGGCCTAATGGCTGAACTCGGTTTCTGGAACGTCTCCACGGGTGATCGTCATCCACATGGTGGCACTTTGTGTCATTGGGTGTTTATTGCTTGTGTGATGTCCTGGTGAAGTAAAAGTACTACTTCTACTGCACATCCTCAGGCTCACGACACCCTGTCTACACCAGCCTTAAAGTAGTACGTACAGACATTAGTGACAGTGACAGTTGGTCCAGGATGTTGCAGAACCAAGCATCAGCACTTTTTTGGGTTGTTTGTGATTTCTCTAGGCAATTTCAAGTTCAGTAGTTTGCCATTGCTAACTTAACAGTCGGCTTTCGATACCAGTGTTGAAACAAAAGTAAGCTGGTCTGTTGCCAAGTCGCCCGCAGCTGAAATCGAACCTGGCCCCACAGAATTACGCAGCGCATACGCTGGATATATGTCTTTTTTTTATATTTTTTTTATAAAACTACCATGGCTAGATTTAGACTCGAGACCCTAAATTATATAGAGAACTGAGGCCCCAATCGCTTTAAATTACACCAGCTACTTTCAGAAAATTGTATAAACTTTATAGGCCTTTTAAATTTGTGAATAATAGAAATATCATCATCACTATCGTATAGCAGAACGTCGCTCTCATCACGGTCTACTCGAAAGACACTCAGTCTCTTGCCAGCTCTCCCGCCTCATGTACTTTTATCCTCAAGGAGTCACTTATATCCTGTGCCCATCTTCGCTTTGGTCGGTTCCTGTCCCTTCTTCCTCGTGCCATGCCTTCTGCTATTCTTTTTTTCCAACGCGTCGTGGCGCTTGATATGACCAAAATATTTCAGCTTCCGTGACAGGATGCTGTTTATTAGCCAATCTTCCTTGATTTTCAGTTCTGTCAAGATGTCAGTATTAAATAATAATAATAATAATAATAATAATAATAATAATAATAATAATAGTAGTACAATTTTATCCTATTATTATTATCTTCTTCACCACGGACTGTACAGGTTAGGGTGTTTAATTGTGCACCAAACAGAAAAACTCCACCACCCTACCCAGAGTTCGGCGTTGTAACGGCTCGGTCAGACGCTTTGATCAGCTGCATAATTATTATTTTAAAAATAATAATAATAATATAAACATATTTTTGTTTAACTGTTGGTAAAAGAAATAATAAAAAATGTGTTAGCAAAAAAAAAAAAAAAATCACAAAAATTAAAAATGAAAATTTTAATATAAATTCTACAGCAGTTTTCAACCTGTGGGTCGACACATTTTTTGGGGGGTCGATCGACCCTTTCGCAGGGGGTCGCCCAAACCTATTGAAGAACCTATATTCACTGAAATTATGAAGTAGCAAAGAAAATAATTGTGTGGTGGGGGTTCATCACAACACGAGGAACTGTATTAAAGGGTCACGGAATTAGGAAGGTTGACACTCACTGCTCTAAGAGGATCTATGTGATGAAAATGTCATTAGTGTAACAGAAAACTGATTACTTGAAAACAAAAAGAAATAGGAATTTGTTCAAGGCCCCTAAATATTATGAGATCCTTTCTAAGGCGGTGCTTATTTACACGGCATTCTGTTCTAATTTATGACAAAAATATCACCTTTTCAATGTGTTCGTTTTTGTAAAGTTCCGCCGTTTTCATTTGTTAAAAAAAAAAAAAATTTAACATTAAAAAGGTTAGTACTAAAGACACCACCCCTTGCACATTTTTCGGATTTAAAAATAAAAAAAGTTTAGAAGTCATTTTCTAAAAACTCTATTTCTGTTTGTTTAAAATACTAAAATCTCAGCTAATATAAAGACTAGAAACATGACATTTAGTGTGGGTACTTCTTAAACAATATTACAGGAACATGTCTATTTAAAAGTAGATTTTAGAAAGTTTTTGTTTTTTGAAATTTGATGTCTTATGATGCTACATTTCTTTGACTTTTTCGACAAACCTAGATTTTAAAATTCTACAAAAAATATTTAGAAACATCGTTAAAGTTGAAAAAAAAAAAAAAAAAAAAAAAAAACTACACATGTACCGTAACATAGGATTAAAGTACATGAAATCATCATCTATTTCCCAATACATACGTTTTTAAAATTTTAAGATTCCAAGTACATGTTTATTTGTCCTTAAGATGGCGGCTTTTGCCATGGCAATCATGAGTTTTTTTTTTTTTAACTTAAAGTTTGCACATTTATTAACATAAATCTCTACAAATGACCATTATAGAATAATTGGTCTAACACTGTAAAGATACAAAATTTTTTTTTTTTTGGTGTAGTGACCCCTTAAGAACAAAAATACCATCAATGTACTGTCTACTGCCTACTGAAGCAAAGACGTCTTCGCTGGTTGGGACATGTCTCCCGCATGGAGGATGGTCTTATTCCAAATGACTTCCTGTATGGTGAAATGGGAATAGACTTACAGGAAGACCAAAGCTACGTTATGCGACATATGCAAATGTGACCTGATAGATACCAACACCCCCGTGTGGGTTCCGGGACAAGAATAGACTCACTGCCTATCCGAAAGCTTGTCGTAAGAGTCGACTATTGGGAGCTTCCTTCGAAGTTGGAGTGCATCTGCCCTGAGAAGCAAGGAACCAACAGTCTACACATAAATGTGTCAGATTCCTCAAACGGATGCACACGCAACACTCAGGTTCTGGAACACGACTGCAATCCAGACGTAGACGAACAACCAGAACTTTCCACCAGAGTTTACAGCTGGTGAACACAAAGAAGAAAGAAGAAGAAGATACCAAAATAGGCACATAGACTTGGGGAAAATTAGCTGCAGATCGACTACTATGACAACAGAAAGTGAAAGACGGATTGTCGCATTTTGAAAGAAATCAATCGCAGAGAGCTGTAGAGAGGAGACGGCGGTGAGAAAATTAGCCTCGTAGCGAGGATGTTTCTACTATTGTGTGTATCCCGTGTGGCAGAGACTGACTCTCGCACCGGACTTTACAGTCACAAAGATTCTGTGCGCAAAACCAGCAGCTCATCTCGATAGTTCCCCCCGGGACTGACGAAAAGCCTTAACAAAGCACTGACCACCACTATCTCTTGCAGGACCTGGTGACCTTTGATCCTGTAGTTCCCGTACACCCAGCCCAAAAGGACGTTATCCTTCGTTACACTCTAGGGACACAGGTGGCCGCCAACCCTCTAGACTGGGTTGGCATATTTAAGAGTGGTTGCTGGGACACTGACAACCCGCTGACCTGTCAGTGGGCCCCCGTAGAGCCATCAGACGGAGCCATGGTGCGAGAGAGGCATGTAGTATTTCCCGCCAAGTTCATACAGGTAAATAACAACCGGAACGACACTTACTTCCATAAACACAATATATACTACTACAAACACAAGAATTGCTACTAAAAAGAGAACAATTACTAATACAAACACAACAAGTTCGAATACACACACAATTACTACTGCAAAAAGCACAACTGCTATTACAAACACAACAATTACTACCAACAAACACTACAACTGTTACTGCAAACAGAACAATTACTACAACAAATACAACAATTTCTGTCACAAACCTAACATTTTCTAACACAAACACAACAGTTCCTTTTACAAACATTACATTTTCTACTACAAGCACATAAATTACTTCTACAAACACTCCAACCAGAACAGTTATCACATATAAACACAACAGTTACTACTACAGCTGCCTGTTTAACTAAACACACTACCATTACAATAGAATAACAGGTACTGCTACTGAGACTTTTTTTTTTTCTTTTTTTTTCCTAGAAACAAAGGTGCCGGTACTTACAATAAAGCGTTTGAAAAGGTGGCAGCATTAATTCTAAAATTGCTACTACAGTGTCACTGAAACAAAGGGATGCAGAAAAAAAAGTGCCAGTTCTGCCTTACCCTGCTTACCACCAGAAAACAAAGTAATGGGTACTAATATTATAGCCAACAAAGCTGCTGCTGCTGCTACTACCACTGTTGTTACTATTATTTTTCTGACCAGGGGCACTGCGTGGTCTCGAGGTATGGGGTCCGCCTCGAGTGCTAGAGGTTCCAGGTTCAATCCCCGGTAAGGGGCGGGATTTTTTCACGTGGCGTTGGACTTCTGGTAATTTCCCTTGTCTATGGGTAGTGAGATCGGACGCTCGTGTACATTGTTGCGCACTTAAAAAAATCCCTTGCAGTTGGAAATCGAAAAGAGTAGCCTAACGGCGCTGTCCGGGCAAAAATCGGGAGATAAAAATATACACAAAGTATTTCAGGATCCTCGCCGGTGCTATAGAGCCTGTGCATTGTGCTGAGCTTCTACGGACTCAGACTTGAGTTAAAAGTAGAACAGAGCACTCATGTGTTACTACCCGTGTGCCATGATGTTGATCCGTTGTTCAAACCTCAAACCTCCTTGTTCAAACCTCAAACCTCATTTTACTGACTATCGTTGATAACATGACTACTGCTACTAATACTGACTGCTACCATCTGACTACTATTTCAATGAGTCCACAGATATCACAATTTAGCAGCAAGCCGCAACACAGCGTGCCAACCGCCCTTTTAAGGGCGTCCATAGAAGAAGAAGAAGAAGAAGACGGGGACCATCGACGATTACATATGACTACTTATCAGGCGCGACGACACAAAGAAAACAGAAGTCCTCTTGCCTACCCCCATTCCCCACCCGCCTAAACATTTTATAGACAACAATATTAGATTGTTGGCTTAGATCTCATAACCCCCCCCCCCCCCCCCCCTCCTTTTTCACCCATAATTATTATTATAACAACATTATTGGGTGGGGGAGGGGTGGGGGAAGGGGGAAGAGGATGGCTGAGTGAACTAAACTGCGAGAGGACAGGTGACCTCAAGAGTCTTGAGCCCTCAGGTTCTGGCGCGAAAGCTGATACATCTACTGCTATTACCCTTAGTTCTATATTACTAAAGCCGTCAGCCGATAATATATCTTTTTAACATATCTACTACTACTACTACTACTACTACTACTATTACTACTACTACTATTACTAATACTACTACCTCTACTGCTGCTACTACTACTACTACTACTGCTGCTACTACTGCTGCTACTACTGCTACTGCTGCTTCTGATACTGCTGTTATTACTGTTTTACTGAGATCATTAGCCGATAGTTTATCTACTACTACTACTACCCCCACCACCACTACTACCACCACCACTATTACTACTACTACTACTACTACTACTACTACTACTACTACTACTACTACTACTACTACTACTACTACTACTACTACTACTACTACTACTACTACTACTACTACTACTACTACTGCTACCCCCACCACCACTATCACCACCACCACTACCACCACTACTACTACTACTACTACTAATACTACTACTACCACTACGACTACTACTACTACTACTACAACTACTACCCCCACCACCACTACTACCACTATCACCACCACCACTACTACCACTATCACCACCACCACTACAACTACTACTACTACTACTACTACTACTACTACTACTACTACTACTACTACTACTACTACTACTACTACTACTACTACTACGACTACTACTGTTAGTACTATTTTACTGAGACCATCAGCCTATCATTTATCTACTACTACCACCACCGCCAATATTTGACCAGTGATTCCAAGTGAAGCCATGCTTAAATGGCAAGTAAGAACTGTCTGTGAAAATAAACGAGGTCAGCAAAAATCGATCAGATCACCTATAAGTACACATTAGTCCACGACATTAGGGGCTGAAGCTGTGAGCTTAATACATCTCAAGGGTGGCAAACAGTTGTTCATATTTTTACAATTTTTTTTGTTTTCATCAGGCTCTACAGGACCAAACAGAAAGCTGCCAGTTTTTGTACGTCAGCGGGAGCGGCCATATTCTTGGCGCCAGCCAGTCCTTCAAGGTTATGGACGCTGGGGAATATCAGAAGGCCCTTACACGGACTGCCTCCCCTGATGCCGAATCACGTGATGCTCATACAACGAATGCGGACGCCAACTCTTGTGAGTTTCGTGAATTGTTGCTGTATATTTTTTTCTTCAACTTTGCGTTCGGTTTCGTTTGCTTAGGTCAAACCATCCTTTGCGTTCGGTTTCGTCTGCTTAGGTCAAACCATCCTTTGCGTTCGGTTTCGTCTGCTTAGGTCAAACCATCCTTTGCGTTCGGTTTCGTTTGATTTGTTCAAACCGTCCTTTGCGTTCGGTTTCGTTTGATGGGGTCAAACCATCCTTTGCGTTCGGTTTCGTTTGATTGGGTCAAACCGTCCTTTGCGTTCGGTTTCGTTTGATTGGGTCAAACCGTCCTTTGCGTTCGGTTTCGTTTGATTTGTTCAAACCGTCCTTTGCGTTCGGTTTCGTTTGCTTAGGTCAAACCATCCTTTGCGTTCGGTTTCGTTTGATGGGGTCAAACCCTCCTTTGCGTTCGGTTTCGTTTGATTGGGTCAAACCGTCCTTTGCGTTCGGTTTCGTTTGCTTAGGTCAAACCATCCTTTGCGTTCGGTTTCGTTTGCTTAGGTCAAACCATCCTTTGCGTTCGGTTTCGTCTGATTGGGTCAAACCGTCCTTTGCGTTCGGTTTCGTTTGATTGGGTCAAACCGTCCTTTGCGTTCGGTTTCGTTTGATTGGGTCAAACCGTCCTTTGCGTTCGGTTTCGTTTGCTTAGGTCAGACCATCAAGTAGGTTGCCTCTATGAACTGGCATGTCAGCTGCAATTCCTTTGTGGTCCCCCATTGCTTGATCTGCATACTTTGCTCTTGAAACCGAGGTGTCTTTTCGAAGTTGTAGGTGAGTGGGAAGGTCTGAATATGTATCCGACGCTGTCTCATACTTTACTTGTAAGGTTTCATTCCAGAATTGTAAATTGAAGGTGTAATATGCAATAACTTTTTCATCATCATCATTTTCATCAGTCCATACTACCAACATTTCAGTGGCACAGCCTAATCAATTCGTACCTTTTAAGCGTTAGCAGGTAACCATTAAACTAGAGAGTGGATCAGGTGATATTTTTCTCCTCGTTGCTTCACTGTCAAGAGTACGCCCTTGCAGCTGTTATTGTAGTGAAGGTAACTGGAAGATTTACACCCCGCACATTTCTGAATAAGTGACGTAAGCATGAAGCCAGAGTACTTTTCGCTAAGTTACTAAAAGTAACCAGCTTCACGTGCTTGCCCATACGTAGACCGAGTGACGTTTTTGTACTAAGTAGTGAACTACTTCTTCTGCTTTCATCCGAAGATGTAACTGCGTTGTGTCAGTTTACAGCATGGCTGCGATATGTAGACCTTTCGGCCAACCATCTGGCGTCTGCTGGCATTGATTAACCAAGTTAGCCTTCCCAGTTAAATATTAAATGGTAAAATTATATCGTAAAATAATGCATTTTTTTTAAATTATGGAAAGTGTAATTAGTGGAGTCGCCGTGGCGTTGCGGTTAGACGCTCGCGAGCGGATTGGAAGATCGTGGGTTCGCTCCCTGGCGGAGCCTGACTTTTTTCAGAAATGACCTCGACTCCTGGGTGACCCAGTCGTGAGTGGGTACCGGATGCAGTTCCAGGAAGTAAATGCGGCCGTCGTGATGCGGACCACATTACCCAACTTGTGCCGATTGTTCTATAAAAATATAAATATATCTCTATATGCCCTATAGCCTAAATGCGTAGAAAAGGGACCTTTAATTTACGTAAGTAGGGATTACAACCGACGCATTCGCGCTTGACTACTGCAACACTTCTTCTTCTCAAAGTCCCTAGCGTGGGGCGCTGGTTGTCATGTCTATCCACAACCTTCTGTCTCGTGTACTTTCAGTCAGCTCTGCCCAAGATAATCCCTCATGAAATGATATAAACTGCCAATCTGTTCTCTTGGTCTCCCTCTGCCTCTCTTTCCCTCTAACTTTCCTACCGTCACGATGTACTTAAGTTTTCTCCTTCTCATCACCTGACCAAAGAATGCAGACTGTCTCTTTCTGATGAGGGTAATCAGTTCTATTCGCGAGTTAGTTTCTTTAAACACTTAAATATATGAAGATAATTTCGCAAATTTACTAGGTTACTCAGCAAGAAATACTGTTGATGCCATACCACATCACTCATATACCTTATAGGAAAACAGATGTATAACCGCAGGCAAGACTACAAACAAGATGGGAGGAAATATGTAAGAGGAATACTACATGAGAAATATAACTGGGAATCAGTCAGGCGAGCGAGAACCATAGCCGTGTATCTCACAAGATCCTAAGCGGTACAAAGATAATGAGGTGAACAAGAAGAAGGATAGGAGAAGGGAATTGACAACGCAAAGAAGAAAAAAGAAACAGAGGTAAATGAGAATGATGTGAAGAAGAAGAAACAAAGAAAATTATATATATATATATATGATTACACACACATACACATATGCATGTGTGCGTGCGTGCGGGCGTTGTGTGTTATGACATACAGATGCTTTTACCAGAGACGTATATGTTTAACACAGTGAAATATGTATGGTGCAAACATAAGTTTACCGCAGAAACTTATGCGTTAATTGTCGCTACATAGTTGGTGGGTGATAAACGTATTTGAGTAACTTTACTAATAAAAACAAACGCATACGTTTACCAGATACATACGTTTACCATAGACAGGCACGCCTACCCCAGATACATGTTTCCTATGTTCATTAAAAAAAATCTACAGCATTCAGACTTGTGATGTGTACCAATAAATTAGAAGATATCAATGCAAAAGAGATGTAGAACTCGTGAGCGTTTTATTACTACGGTCAATAACAATACTCGAAAGATGCGGGGGGGGGGGGGGGGGGGGGGCTGCTGCGTGGTGTCCGCCTCGAGTGCTAGATGTTCCGCGTTCAATCCCCGGTAAGGGATGGGATTTTTTCACGTGGATTTGGACTTCTAGTATTTCCCCTGGTCTCTGGATAGTGAGATCAGACGCCCGTTTGCATTGTTGCACATGTAACAATCCCTTGGCAGTTGGAAATCGAAAAGAGTAGTCTAACGGTGCTGCCCGGGCAAAGTTTGAGTTAGAAATCTATCCAAAGTATTTGAAGATCTTCGCCGGGGCTACAGAACCTGTCCACTGTACTGAGCTTCTTCGGACTCAAACTTGAGTTAGAAGAAAGAACGAAACACTTATTGGTTACTACCGGTACATGTGTTGTTGACCCGTTGTTCAAATAAACAAACATTCGAAGTTGCCGTTAAAAACCATTCGTTAGCGTGTCATAGAAAACACTTTGTTACAGTTGCAAACAAGAATACACGAAATCCTTTATCTGTTGAGGTCTCACATAGAAATATCCCTAAAACGTCCGGACTGTAGAAGGAGACAATAGAAACTCACAGTCACGAGGGATACAGGAAGAGGTTACTGGTCATAAAGAATAGTAGGGCTGTTGGGTCAGAAGCTTCTTCTCCTTCTTCTTCTTCTCTTTCAGCGTGTACGTCAGTGAAGTGTCGGGGGGGGGGGGGGGGGGGGAGATGTAATGTTCGTTGATGAGCTCTGTCAAGAGCACTATTAAGACTGATGTTCATTTCTGTAAGGTTGTTCTGAATGCCATTACTCCATTTTTTCCGAGGTCCTCCACTGGCTCTATACCCTCTGTAACGTTTTAGTGTGGCTCGCCGTGGCAGATAGTACCTGGGCATTCTTGTTAGGTGTCCAAACCACTTCATTTTTTTTTCGGTCCGGAAAAAGAAAAGGGTGGGGGGGGGGGGGGGGTTTTAGAAAAAGCTGGTTAAACAAGAAACTAAAAAAACATGCTTTGTTGTGTGTACGCAGATGTGAACATATCCAGTGAGCTCTTGTCCTCGGACGACGAATGGGAGCTGGCCACTCACGAGGAGCTGTGCAAGACCAACTCGTCCACTTCAGATTTGTCTGACATCGAAATTCTCTCCACGTCGCCGTCGAAGGAAGCTGTGAAGATGAAGGTGTCGGCAGCAGAAGATGACGACGTCTGTGAATTTTCGAACATTAACACAACCTGCGCTGTCGCCGAGGACGCCACTCCCGACAGCTGTAACGACCCGCGACACATGATTGCTGTTTCGGAACTGCAGCCAACTTCGCTTTATCAAAGCATTAATGGAGTTTGTCAACCAGAACCGGAAATGGTTGAAACCAAACGGAAGCTTAAAAAACGTATCCAAATGGGTCCAGAATACGTGGACAATAATCTAGCTGTAAATACTACTATTAAAGAAAGTTCTAAAGTTAAGAAACTGAAAAAGTCGAGTACAGCTTCAAAAAAGACAAGTAAACCGATTAGTAAATCTAAAAAGATGCTAAATGCACCAGCACCTGTCGTTAAAATGCACGTTAGTAATTGCCAAATCGTTGATTCCGAAAGTTCATCTGACAGCCAAGAAAATTCCTCTGTGTTGCAAAACTGCAACCTGCGAAAGAGAAAGCGGAAAAACAACACAGAAAAGAGCAAATGGCATCCTGTGGAACACCATAATATCCTGTTGTCGTCAGAATCGGAAGAAGAAATTCAGCAGTCAAATACAAAGAAAGCGAAGCGAAAAAGAACTAGACCAAAAGCGGAAGAATCGCAAACACAAACGTGTAATCGGCTAACTTTGAGACAACAGGAACAATCTGATTGTAAGACAACCGAGATAACTGATAAATTGAACAGAAAAGTTGAAATTAGCCAGATGGTCGATCATAACCAACCAGAGAAGGAGTATGTTAACAATACAAAAACCGGTCACGGCATGAAAACGATAGATGAAAGATGGAGGGATTTTGACGAAAACAAGACACATAAGGCAAATCCGTGTAACTTCCAGGCTGTAGCTTCCCCAGATGAGAGTAAACTTATTTCGAGAAAGAGAAAGAAAATTGATGATAGTATCAAATATCGAGATACTGCCTGTCTCATGGTGTCTGCCCCTGATAAGATGTATTCTAGAAAAGAAATGGATGCAAATACAGAGTTTAAAAATATGTCTTCTAATCCTCATAATATGAAATCCCAACAGAACACAACGATAAACTCCAAAATAGCGAGGAACTCAGATAAAAACAGAAAATACACAGTTATCCCCCTTCGTCTGGAAGAAGGGACTTCCGTAGATAGAATTATGACACACTCTGGGTATATTGATGAAATGAGAAAATATAAAGTTATTCCCATTGATAACAGTTTGAATCCCCCAGAGAAAATCACTGCAAACTCTACATTAAACAGAGATGATGGGCACTTAATTAATAACTCTTCTATTAAAATGCACAATTGGATATTTGGCGAAGAAATAAACTACAACACAAAAATTAACAATTTTGATGAACGTGAAAAACATAACACTGCTAAAAGTAATCTACAGATCGTCGAGTCCATGCAGCAGTTCAGGACAGACCTCAAAGCTGCTGATGATGTTTGTGAAGAGAAGAGTGAGAATATTTCTATTTCCTCAAACTACGAAGGAAAAAATGATGACATTTCTATCTGCAACCTACAAGATATAGAATTAGTTAAGAAGCGGCGGGACGACTTCAAACTAACGCGGTGTAACGGCGCTAAATGTTTTCAGGACAATACAGAGAACAGACTGAAAGGTAGACAGTTGGCAAAGAAACTAAAAACCAGTCCAAAAACATCTTCTAACTTTGAAAATAATCTGAGGGCTACAGCAGCTTTGAATGAGCATAAAATAAAGGAAAGTTTAAACACGCAGAAGCAGAAGCTGGCCAATCAAAGAAGAAGCTCTGAGCTTGGAGAGACAGGATGCAAGATCTTGAAAACCTCAGATGTAGGAGGTCATCGGTATTGCGATGGGGATTGGGAAGAAAATAGGTCGGATCTGTCTGGCGTATGTCCATGGGATATCTCATCCAAAGAAACAAAGGCGTCGACAACTCTAGACTGTTATCCAGACAGAGTAGAGAAGAAACGCCAGCGTAAGGTTAAAACCAGAAGAACGAAGGAGTCGCAGAGGAAACGGAAACAAATCAAGACTGAAGATGGACTGGCTGTGACAAGATTTGATCAAGGTCAAACACAGGTAAGATTCTGGGCTGCTGATCTTTCTAGTGTTTAACTAATGATAAACAGTCTGCTGATCTTTCTAGTGTTTAACTAATGATAAACAGTCTGCTGATCTTGCTAGTGTTTAACTTATGATAAACAGTCTGCTGATCTTTCTAGTGTTTAAATTATGATAAACAGTCTGCTGATCTTTCTAGTGTTTAAATTATGATAAACAGTCTGCTGATCTTTCTAGTGTTTAATTTATGATAAACAGTCTGCTGATCTTTCTAGTGTTTAATTTATGATAAACAGTATCACCTAGTTCACAAGCGCTTTCTAGCGGCTAGACGCTCGCCTCCAGACCAAAAGGTCGTATGTTCAGGTCCTGATAGAGCTGGATTGTGTTTCGAAAAGGACATTGGCTCCAAGGTGGACATCGCCTCTGGTAGGCACCAGGTGCACCTTCCAAGTGGACTGGTCTATAAAATATGTCTAGCCCTATATGCCTATTTCCACCTGAGGGTGTGGAGAAGTGTGTTGAACTTTTGTTTAACGCGAACTTGCTTCGGAAGTACATTCGGTTAACATGAACAAAATGATTGTACCAGAAGTGATGTATTATTATTAGCCCTGAGTTAGCGTGCATTAACAAGACCTCTTGATTATTCAAACCTTGGAATTCACGTCAACCAGATGTTTTATATTATATTATCATTACCAACGTCAGTACACACTGGTCATTCACCTGCTTATTCTTCTTCTTTTTTGCGACCACCGAATGTAAACTCTGGTTGTTCGTCTACTTCTAAACTCTAATATTGTTCCACAATTTAAATGATGCTTGCATATCTGTTTTACAGATCTGGTTCATTTGTAAGCAGACTGTTTGTTCTTCCCCTCTAATGAAGGTGCACTCTGACATCGAAGAAACAGCAGTGATTAGTCGACTTTTACGACATGCTTGTCAAGCGCACAGTTGGTCTATTCTTGTTTCCCCCTTCCTCCCCCAACACCCCCCCCCCCCAAATGGGGCAGCGGAACCCACACTGGGAACATTGGGCATTCAGATGTGTGCTCAGTCTTGTGAGATAGCAGCCATCCTCAGTTATCTCTACTGAAAAAGACCACCCAAAGTATTTCAGGATCCTCACCTGGGCTACGGAGTTTGTGCACTGTGCTGAGATTTTTGGACTCAGATTTTAGTTAAAAGTACAACGGAGCACTTAAAGGTTACGTACTGACTGACTAACTTGTTACCTCACTAGACATCATACAAGCGATAAACACCCGGTGACACAAAGTGCCACCATGCGGATAAACATCAGCCGGGGAGAGGTCCCAGAAACCCCTTTCAGCCGTTAGGCCATATTTATGACACGGCTATATTCAGGGCCCTCGAACTTCAGCTAACATAAAATTGCACCCAACAATGGGATGACTTATCGCAAGATGGGTTACTGCCCTTGTGCCATGGTGTTTATCCGTTGTTCAAACCTAAACCGCCTCTTTCATCATCATCATCATCTTCGTTATTGGCACTATAATAATCGCAGTTATCATGATCCTGGAAATTAGAGAACATTAAATAGGATTAATTCAAGAGAGGTAAAGAAATATGAGAAATGTGTTGGTAACCAATTACATCAACAGTTATAATATAAAGAAGATGGCGCTTTATTAGACACATTCTGAGAAAAGACGAACAGAGAAACGCCAAACAGGCACCAGTAGTTACTACTTCCTGTCCTTTTTAGGATGACACATTTCTCTTGCCAGGGGCCGCAAAAGAGCTGAACGCGGTTTCTGGGACCTCTCCACTTTGATCCTCACCCACATGGTGGCACATTGTGTCATCGGGTGTTTATCGCTTGTGTGGTGTACTGGTGGGGTAGAAAGTCAGTCAGTCAAACAGGCACTGACACTGAAAATTGACGGATTGAGAAACGATGATGTATAACCTTGGAGCGAACGTTGAGGAAAGTGGGCAGAAGTGCTAGAATGGATTAATAAAGAGTAAAGTTAAAGTCCCTTTTCCACACCCTCAAGCTTATTTGGCATAGACTGTTAAACCTATGTTTTATAGACGAATGGCCACTTGCTGGGTGGTGTGGTCAACGCCACAGCGGTTCACTTGGACGGGATTACGTAAAAAGGTAACAGAGTAAAGGACCCTTTCCACGCCTTAAGGCGTATAGGGCATATAGGGCATACAGGGCTAGAGCTATATTTTTATAGACCAATCAGCACAAGATGGGTGAGGTGTGGCCAGTATTACGCCGGCCGCCTTCACTTTCCTTGGACTGCACCCGGTACCCACTCAAGGCTGGGTCGACCTGGGAGCCAAGGTCATTTTTGAAAAAGGTCCGGCTCGGCCAGGGAGCGAACCCACGACCTTCCGATCCGCGGCGAGCGTCTAGCTGCCCGGGGGATTCCGTGCATGGTATTGGAAAGATTACGCAGGCGAGAAAGGAGTAGAGAAATAGAGTGCAGACCCTGTGTGACACATAATGCCACAATAGAAACAATAAATAAATAAATCAAAAATCAGGATGCTGTATGTGGGTGTGTCTGTATGAGTGTGTGCTGGAGGTTTTAGGGGAAAGGACTGGGAGGTTGGGTTTGGGGAAGGGTAGGGGGGAGGGGGCTTGGGGGAGGGTCATTTTGATTTGAAGAACATTTCCCCTAAGAAAACGGGAGTGAAACCAGTGATGTGCGTATCAAATGCCTGGCTTCTGTCTGTTTTGATCTTGACAAATCCATACATTGCAAGAATAATTTAACTGGGTGTGAGTGAGGACGGGCGGGGGGGGGGGGGGGGGGGGGGGAGGGGGTATGGTGGTGAGTTATATATATATATATATATTTTAGAAAGAAACATAAACAGACTCTCAATCAGGTTGCAACTGGTATTATTAGCTTGTCGACCCTTGCTTAGCGACTGAGGCAGGAGATGGAGCACTATGAGAATGTTCCGAATGCAACGATGTCAGTTCTTGATCGATTCATTCATACATTGAATTGAATGAGTTACACTAAAACTGACTTTATACTGAGCGAGTCAATGATTGTGACTTTCAAAGTACTGAATGAGTCAGTCATGGTGATAATGATTCAGACTGGCCCTTTCGAGGTTCTAAAAGAGTCAGTAATGGTGATAATTATTCAGACTGGCCCTTTCGAAGTACTGCTGAAAGAGTCAGTAATGGTGATAATGATTCAGACTTGCCCTTTCGGAGTAGTGCTGAAAGTCAGTAATAGTGATAATGATTCAGGCTGGCCCTTTCGAAGTACTGCTGAAAGAGTCAGTAATGGTGATAATGATTCAGTCTGGCCCTTTCGAAGAACTGCTGAACGAGTCAGTAATGGCGATAATGATTCAGTCTGGCCCTTTCGAAGAACTGCTGAACGAGTCAGTAATGGTGATAATGATTCAGACTGGCCCTTTCGAAGTACTGCCGAAAGAGTCAGTAATGGTGATAATGATTCAGACTGGCCCCTTAGAGTTATCTCAACTGCATGATTTGTTCATTCTTTAGGAGAGCCACCAAAACGCTAGCCAGAACATTACCGTCACGAAAGTCACCGAAAGTCTGGCTCTGAACGGAGCAGAGAAGCTAGGCTGGCACAACGGAGAAATACCCGAGGCAGATCTGACGGTGGGTAGTAACAGCGCCATGCATGATGTCTCTGGCACCCCCTGCAGACAGAAGCCGACATTTGAGGTCAACGATGAGCGCGTGTGTGATACAGATCGTCATTATCTAATGTCAGGTGGTTCATCGGTGGATGGAATGGGGTCACCTGGTCAGCGGCTCAGAAAAGAGAAAACCTCCCTGTCCAAGATCAAAGGGTCACAGTCCAGGTTCAAAGCCAAGTATAAATGCCAGGTTTGTTAGTTGGTATATATCTACATACGCGTATTCGACTAATTCTGACCTCCAAATACCGTATTTTCCTGGAATTGGAGGGGAAGGGGAGGGGGGTAGTGACTAACTATGGAAGAAACACCATACTATGATGTTTACGGTGCTTCTTATATCAAATCTACCACGACAATAAACCCTTGAAAAGATTGTCAACCCGACCGACGGATGTAATTCGCCCGTTGAAACACTTGGTAGTTGTATTGAAATATAGCATTTAACACCACTGAATACATACATAATCATAAACAAACCAAACAATATTTTGGCATTACCGCTTCTAATAAATGATTCACCAATGTGGAGCTTTGGCAGAGAACTAAACAAGTTCCGGTGGAGCAGGACGTGAAGAAAACCTGAGAACAGTTTAACTAAAATGTCTTTTCAATGGGACCCACAGGGATATAGAAATAAAGGAAGAACCCCCCCCCCCCCCCCCCCCCCCCCACACACACACACAACAAAGAGAGTAAGTTAAAAAGACTAGGAGAACACCGGATGAGCTGCGTGCAAAAGCGAATAATAGAACAACATGGTGTGAGTTCGTTGAGGCCCAGATTTTTTTTTATGACGTTGGCTTCCAGGTCAACACAGCCTTAAGTTGGTACCAACGACAGTCCTGGTAAGTAAAGGCGACCGGCGTGATGCTGACCATATCACCCACCAAGTACAGTTTGGTCTGTTTATATACTATAGGCCTAGAACTATATACCCAATAAGCCTGAATGCGGGGGAAGGGGTCCTTCACTGTCCTTACATTGAAATCAAACCTGACAACTGGACATGACAACCACCACATTGCTCTGTATGTTACTTTCTAACCATTTTGTGATGCCCTAATACAGCTGTGCCATATAGCTACACGGGCTGAACAGTTTGCTCAGTGGCTAAGCGCATGCTTGATGACCCGAAAGGTCGTGGTCTTTGAATCGCAACTTTTCAAGTGACCTTTGCTCTCTGGGTCAACCCACCAGTCTAAGTAGGTAGCAGTAGGTTACAATGGGAGTAATGCTGGCCTGCGTGATATTCATCAAATTACAAATATGAGTGCCAACGGATCAATTCGACCTGAGACCAGCAGTATATTGCAGTTCACAACTGGCACATTGGGGTCGTTGATATGTTTTTTCTTGGGGTGGGGGGGGGTGGGGGGGGGGGGACGAGTCCGCTATCTTTACAAAATGTATTGCAGGATGAGTGAGCCACATCATCATCATCATTATCGTCATCATCAACAGCAGTATCAACAGCATCGTTGTCAGTAAAATCCTATTGCCCTCTTATAGTTACACAAGGGGAGCAAGACAATCCGTCACACTTTCATAAATACATGCATGCATGCATCAGTCAGTCTATCTATCCATCTGTCCATCAGTCCGTCCGTCCGTTCATCCACCCTTCTGTCCATCAATCCATCCAATCATTCACCCATCCGTCTGTCAATCCAAACATCCATCCATCCATCCATCCATCCATCCATCCATCCATCCATCCATCCATCCATCCATCCATCCATCAATCAATCCATCCATCCATCCATCCATCCATCTATCCATCCAACTATCCGTCCGTCCGTCCATCCATCCACCCATCTCTACATACTTACTTACATACATATATGTGTTTTTTATGTTCTTGCGTTAAGATTTCTTTGTGTGTTTAGCAGTGTGTGTGAGACTGTTTATCTGTCTGTGTTTTATGTGTATGTGTGTTTATTTTTCGTTCCCATCTGTCTTTCTATGCGTTACGTGTTTGTGTTTTATGTGTGGGTGTATATGTGTATACCTGTGCTGTCACAGGTACTAGTCTTAGCTTTGCGATTACCAAATTCCAGTTGGAAAACAAAACAAAATTAACGTCTGGATTTTCAGGGGCGCACCCCCAGTGGCCTGCAATGTTTAAGAAGGGGTGAGATATCCAAATGGCGAAAACTCTGCAGATTGCTTCTAGTGAACAGACGGAGGTTCAAAGCTGCCCATGGAACGACTGAAACTGGTGATGAATACGGCACGATTGCTGAGGTAGGGATGCACGAGGTTACACGCATGAGGTTTACGTTCAGTAGTTTGCCATTACTTTCTGGACAGTCGGCTTCTCGATACTACTCTCAAAATACAACACTGGGTGTAAAGTGCGCAGCTGGGATCGAACCCGGCACCCTGACATTAGGAAGCACGTTCGCAACGCCTAAGCCACAGACGCCGACTAACCTATAGGTTAGTTGCGTATTCTTTACAGGACGTTGCAGAACCAACCTCAACAGCCCCTGGCTGTTGTGTGGGGTTTTCTATGCAAATTTACGTCCAGTAGTTTGCCATTGGTTTCTGGACGGTCGGCTTATTTGATACCACTGTCGAAACCAACACAAGGCGCATGGCCCGCAGTTGGGATCGAGCCCGGCATCCCGGCATTACGAAGCGTTCGCATCGACTTAGCCACAGAGCCGACTCGACTAACCTATAGTGTCCTGCAATATTTTAGAAGGGGGAAGATATCCAAGTGGTGATAACTCTGCAGATTGTTATCTGGTGAAAAGACGGAGGTTCAATGCTGTCCAGGTAATAGCTGAGACTGGTGATGAATACGACATGCTTGCACACACACACACCCACATAGACATATATACATACACATATATATATCCTTATATGCTTGTTGTAAAGAGGAAAGATTGACTTAGGAAGGATGATATCAGAAAGAGTCACCACTGAACCAATATTAAACTTTATAGGTAGACAACATAACAAATCAAATTGTTAAGCCATGTAACAAGATTGGCTTCAGACAGGGTTCTACAGAGCGCAATGTTGTACAGATACAACTGTAACAGACCCAGAGGTCGACCACGCAGACATGGACCGCACAAATATCAGACACTGAAAAGTACTTTATACGACACGAACAGAAGGGCCCGTTCTGGAGATGTCTTCTGACGCCGCGAAGCATTCCGGGAGTAGAAAAAAAGGATAGAATATATATCCCAGGAAACTCAAAAACAGAAACGCAACTTACGGATGCGAGTCCTGCAACTTACTCAATCATTCAAGGGAAAACATTCAGAGCTTTTGAACTGACATGCTTCAAAAACCTCTCGAAATATTATGGACCAAGACGAAGAAAATGTGACATAATGAATATCATCCAAGGCCATTTCGTTATATAAGTTTTAAGTTGGGTCGGTCTAGGATGGTTATGACTGGGTTACCTAATATGCCCCGAAAACCTTAAATATTTCTGTCCCCCACTGTCTCTTGTTATAAAATGCAGAGTTGTACAAAGTGAGGAGTACCCGAGGTAACTATGATGAGTTGTGATATCAGCATCACATCGACGACATCCACATCCTATGACATATTTGTTATAATCAGTATTTGATTGCCTGGATTAAGGATAATTATTACTGAGTGCTGAGGTAGACTACGACAACATTGCATACCTATTTTCAATTAATTTTCTAGGTGGACAGTACACTGGAACTCCAATATTCGTCCAAGCCATTATTCGTCTTTCTAGAATTCATCCTGTTATTTTCGTAGGAATTTGTGTTTGAAAGTCGACAATCGTTCTTCCTCCGACGTGGCCAGTGAGTCATCAGATAAGGGGGAAATATTATGAAGGGCCGATTGCAAATGCTGATATTAGGGAATGGATGTCCCTTGTGAAATAATCAGTTTTTCATCGAAAATGGCACCCAAGCGTCGTTTTAGTTAATCAGTGTATCAATTCGCTGGACGAAGATGTTTTTCGACACTTCCTGAACTTTAAAATAAAAACGGAGCACAACCGATTACGTAACCACATGTACACAAAATTCAAGATAGGCGTATCAGCCATGTGCACCTGTGGATAGGCGCGCCAGACAGCAGAGCATGTACTCCAGGACTGCACCGAGTATGACACATTAAGGCAAACCTTTTGGCCAGAAAGAACAACATTGGATCGTAAACTCTGTGGACCGCTGAATTAATTAACAACAACAGTGAAATTTAAACAAGAGACAAAATTGCTGATATAGACAACTTATTTCAAGCGAACGAAAGAAGAAGATGAAGGAAATTGATGTCCCTTGTGAAATAATCAGTTTTTCATCGAAACTGGCACCCAAGCGTCGCTTTAGTTAATCAGTGTATCAATTCGCTGGACGAAGATGTTTTTCGACACTTCCTAAACATTGTTTAAAAACAGAAAAAAAAAAAAAAAAAAAAAAGAACAATAAAGAACCTAGATAACCTCTTAACAAAAAAAAAACACAAAACAAAAAAACTGAAGTACTTGTAAACCGTTTGCAATTGCATTTAAAACATCATAACATCCTTCACCAAAAGTTGAATCTACCTTATGTTACATAAAAGGTGACTCCCATCCCAAATATTATACATATATTCTTTTGATAAAAACTAAATTTTTTGCTTAAATTGTTTTTATCTTGGCCTAGAGTAAATTTACTCTAGCAACACTATTAAATCTATGCCAGTGGTAAAGCAAGAACAAGTACGGTGGTTAATAAGCAATAAAAATGTATTTTGTTATGATTTCCGAGATCGATTTTCGAGTGACATTTTTCTTTTTATTAAGAATATGTCTACAATATTCGGGGTTGGGAGCGGGTTAAGCCATGTTTAGTTAATTCCTCAGGGGAAATCTCGTTTGATATTCATTCTTTAAAAATAAAAAAATATTTTTATTTCGTCCTCCTCTCAGGAACTGATTACTAATGAATAGTGGGGGTCGACTGTATAAAAAAAAAATATGAGAGAGTGTACAGTACATGAGTTTACAACGATGAGTAATGTTATCAACAACAGAAAAAAAAGTTCATCTTTACTGACTGACTTTCTACCCCACTAGGACATCATACTAGCGATAAACACCCGATGACAAAATGCACCACCATGTGTGTGAGGATCACCGTGGAGAGGTCACAGAAACCGCGTTCAGCCATTAGGCCATATTTATGGCTATGTTGCGGCCCCTGGCAAGAGCCAGGGTGGGGCTTCAAATAACGAAAAATTTTATCCTAACAAGATTCATCTTTACTTCCGGAGACATTTTCTTTTATCAATCTAAGCCAGAGTCTATTTGGGTTAATTGTACATGAATGTTCTGGAAGACTGTACTAACCCAGCATACTTTCCCCTTATCTTTTTTTGCAGTTAGAAAATACAGAAAGTAGCACGGAGTGTGCTGTACCCAAGGTAACGACCAGGGAAGAGCTGTGTCTACAGGTGCAGAACCCAGCTCAGTCGCTGGCAATCAGTGGGTCGTCCAATGTCCGGTCGATGGAGGCTAAGGGCAGACAAACATATGCTAGCGTCGTCAAGGGAACTAAGCAAGGTAAACTGAGATAAGGAAATGCCAGTTATGATCTCAAGATTCTTGTGTTTTTTTTTTTTTCTGCGTATAAAGTTTCGATTTTAGTGGTTAGCGATCTAGAAAAATACAACAATTTTGGTAAACGTATGCCTCTCCAGGATTGCAGAATAACAGAATAACAAACATCTAGCAACACAAAGGTGCCACTTTTCGGTTGAGAATCCATCGAAGCCATGAAACACAGTTAGATAATAAAGTCATTATATATTCCTTACGTCCTTCTTAGGACGTTATTTTTTGTTATTTGAAGCCCCGCTTTGGCTATTGCCAGGGGCCGCAATATAGGCAGGTCATCATTATGGCCAAATGTCTGAACGCGGTTTCTGGGACCTCTCCACGGTGATCCTCATCCGCATGGTGGCACTTTGTGTCATCGGGTGTTTATCGCTTGTGTGATGTCCTGGTGGGGTAAAAAGCCAATCCAATAAAGTCATCCCCAAGTGCGATGCAATCTTTCGTTACTTGAAGCCCCACCCTAGCTTTTGCCGGGAGCCCTGAATATAGCTGGCCCACAAATGTGGCCATAACGGCTGAAAGGGGTTTCTGGGACCTCTCCACGGGTGATCCTCATTCGCATGGTGGCACTTTGTGTCACCGGGTGTTTATGTTTGTGTGATGTTCTGGTGGGGTACAACAAGCAAGCAAGTTATCTGTGATGGACTGACTTTTAACTCAACAGGACATTACACTGAGCAATAAACACCCGGTGACACATAGTGCCACCATTAGGATGAGATTCACCCTTGGAGAGTTCCCACAAACCCCCTTGAATAGTTATGTTACATTAGGGACTACTGCAACAACCAGGGTGGGGCTTCAAAAATAGGAAACATTCGTCCCTGATGGAGCTTATACCTGAGATGGTTCGTATCATAGCTTTCAGAGGTCGTCTTCTTGTCATGGAGTTTTATTTTAAAGCCTTGTTTGTAAATGTTTTGATACAATTACTGAAATAACAGTAAATCTTCCAGGCACGGTCCCAGCAATAAAGATTGACAATAAGGGATCTCCGAAGTGATATGTCTTTCATCCTGCATGTATACTCTCTTAGGCCGCTGCTCGTCCATCTCTCTGTGTTATGGTACTATTTGTATTGTATTTTGCCGCGTGCATGTTTGCCTTTAACTTTTACTTAAGGTGTTACTTAAAATATGTTAGGTCTTTTAACATCATACAAATTTTCCACATATCTTTTTTTAGTTCCGTCACCAACTTTTTGCATCCAATAACACCCCCGCCTTTTTTTAATAACTTCTTCTTTTGTCTTCTCACTGAACCATATTGTATTTAGCCCATTGTCGTGGTTTTCCTATTTGTCTTGCACTTCTCGGATGGCTTGGGTGACAAATTTGTTCATCGTTTTGCAGGTTTCAGCTACACCATTCATTTATCCGTCTCTTTCGTGGTCTCCCCCTCGACTTCTTCCCAGGTGTTCTGCTGCAATGAAAAGTATCATGTACAGTTTGCTATGGCTGCATTTTCACTAGATGGCGGAACTATTTCATTGTTTGCTGTCAATATAATCCAGATATAGTCTTATTCCAACTTTCTTTCTAATGCCGGTATTCGTAATCTAGTCCCTTCGTGTGTTATTAGTGACTTTAAGAAGACAGCCCACTTTACATGTAGTTATTTTCTGTTCTCGTACCCTATTCCTTGTCCATGTTTGGCACTGATAACTTCAAGAATGGATAAATATGCTATTAATCATTTGCAGTTTTCCTGAAAGGGAGATATTTTGGGTTTCTAAGCAGTGGGAGTAACTAGTAGGTGACAGCGTTTGTCTTCTGAAGTCTGGTTTTTATCTGTGTATCAAGTTTGTCATTCTCCATAAATATGCTTCTTAGACATTTGAATTCTTGTTTTCTTTATTTTTAAAATATTTTTTTATCATTTTCCTACCATGACGTATGTTTTTGATTGTCTGACATAGCTTATATAAAAAGATAACTAAACCTTAACGTATACTTCTCATTTACAGCTTCAAGTCCGTTAGATCAGAAAGTGCAAGAACACACCGTCATTGACATTCCTTATAATGAATCCTATGCCATCCCTCGTGATTCAGCGGAAGGTGTCAAAAGTGAAATAGGACTTGCCGAACTGGAAGAAAGATCAAAGCTGCTGTGCTACAGTTGTGTTACGAATGCTGAGGTATCAAGCAGTCAAACAATTCTTAAACAGCAGGATACGACATTAGAACACAATCTACATTCTTTAATTATCGGCGAAGAATTAACTCGGGATTTTCAACCTGGAAGGTCTGGGAAACTGTCAGTGAGTAGAAACTTCGAAGCCCAAGCGGGTTCAGAAAATGGAATATCAAGTAGTGATTCAAACACATGTGGACACACATATATGGCCTCCTGTGATATAAATAATGCCATTTTGGCAGCAAAGACCAAGGAAAAAGAGAACGCTGTAGGAACACGTGTGGGAGATGAACGAGGGGGAAAAGGTTATCTTGGAACTTCACGCGAACGAGCTGAAGCAGATGGGGCAGAGGGGAATGATGTAATTCTCAACTGGCCTTTGCCAGCGGCGTGTGCAAGGACTTCTTTGGTAGAAGAGCACCCTGAATGTGGACCCGAAACTCCTCTTAAAGCAGAATGCATCTTAACCAATCATACACTAGCTACTGTTGTACCACCTGCCTGGCGAACTGAACAGTCTCAGACTGGACACAGAGGTATGGATACACCAGTCGAGGCCAGCATGTCTAGCGAGTTTGAACTCTCATCTTCTCAGGCGGGACAGGCAGAGTTGGTAGACATTGATGCCGCCGAGAAAAGTACAGAAATTGGACAACCACCTCAGTCGCGTAGTGACCAAGTAACGGATGATCAGCCACTGATCTGGCCTCTCCCAGTTTTCAAGAGCTCATCTTCCAAGTTTGGACTCGGAAACGCTCTAGGATATCAAGCGGACGATTATCAAATGAACAGCTACGAGTCTGACCAGAGAGATGACCTCCCACCCACGTGGTCAGTTCCCCCAATTTTTCCCGACGTCCCTTCCTTTGTGGCACCAATCCAGTCACAGCTGTGCATTCCCAGGACCTGTGGTCTTCGAAACAACTTAGAGATTAAGGCAGCCACGGGTGCCAGCGCTAAGGATCATAGTTGCGAACTCGGTCCCACAGATTCCAGGCCTCATCGGCAAACCGCTGAACTGAGACAGCGAGTGGTTAGTGTTTTTGTTTTCGTTAGACTGTTTCCTCCACACAGAAAGGATGTAGCACAATCGACAGACACCCGGCTGTTGGTGGTGGTGATGATTGTTTCTCCCCTTCAGGATTATCACCCCAAGTCTGAGAATCAAACTGAAACAAATTCAAGGAACCGCGTTCAACCTATGACATATGTTATATTAGGGCGCCTTCAGGTTAACAAAGTCCGGTTTCATGGCCTAAAACAGTAATATTAGGGTTTTCCCAGGGGCAATAAAGTCTCGTTTAAGTGCGTAATGAAGATATATTAGGGCATTCCAACAGTAACAAGGTCTCGCTCCACTGAATAACAAAGATATATTAGGGCATTCCAACGTTAACAAGATCCCTTTCAACCGCATTACATGTGTGTTTTTTTTTTTTTTAAGAGAATTCCAACGTTAACAAAGTCCATTTCCACTGCAAAATACAGAAATGTTAAGGCATTCCAACTGCAGGAAAGTCCCGTTCTACCTGACACAGGTAAGTAGGGCATTCCAATGGTAACAGAGTCCCGAGCCACTGCATAACACAGTTCTATTAGGGTATTATAACGGTAACAAAGTCAGTTCCACTGCATAACACAGTTATATTAGGGAAATCCAACGGTACCAAAGTCCCGTTTCACCGCAGAACACACTGATATTAGGGCGCCATTACCGTAACAAAGTAGCCATCAGTCCCATGTAGTAATGGGAGTGGGAATCGTGATTATTGCTTGGCAGCCAGTATTAAGATATGGGTTTAGTTAAAGTCGACCTTGACGCCTAGATCTTGTCATTTGAAGATAAGCCCCAAGAAAGGTTGTGGGTAGTAGAGATTATCGGTGCCGTGTTAACTCAATCACATATTGAATGCCACTTGGTGTAAAGAAACACGGGTCCGTCACTCTATGCCCGATGCAGGACTGGCGTAGAAAGGTTTTTTTGCACCTTTTTTCCCCGTTTGTTAATTCTATGGGTAGGTACAGTTGAAGAAAACAAAGGCCCCGTTACCTGCAGGCATATTGGGCATAAAGGACTTGATCTATCGACCATTCGACACTCGGTGGGTGCCGGCCTCCTTTACTTCCCAGAACTCTACTTGGTATCCATTTCAGGCCGCGTCGACTTGAAAACCAAGGTCCTTTGAAAAGAAAATCCGGCTCCCTCAGGCCCCAAATCTACGACCTTCCGATCCGCAGGCGAGCAACTAGAGCAACAACACGCCCCCCCCCTCCCTCCCCCCCCCCCCACCAATTATGTTGGTATCGCATGGTAAGTGTTTCTATTCACTGCAACTGCCACAACTGTATAATCACTGATACGAGGGGAAGTCGATACGTAAGTCACAAGTGGTTATGGGATAGCAGGAAAACGTAGTTGGTATGGTTTCTAAAGATTTCATTAGGTGACAGCAACATCGAACTTGATGTCTCCGTCTGTTAGGTTACGCCAGGTGTTGCATGCACATGCGCAACACAAAAACAAAATGGTGACTGTGCTTACGGAGTGTACTCTCAAAGAACAACGTGCTGTTGTGCATTTTTCTATGTGTGCAAAAGGGCTGCCTGCAAAGGAAATTCACAAAGAAGAGCATCCTGTTTATGCTGACAAATTGTATTTAGTAAAGTGGTGCATAGCTGGATAGAGAATTCTTTTTCTCTAGGACCCTCTACGACTGTTGACGTGGTCCGATCTGATCGAATTGTTGAGATTGGAACAGACATATCCGTGCAGCGGGTGGAGAAGATGATTAGAAGTGACAGGGTAGTAACGGTTGACTCTGTAGCAGCTGCAATAGGGTGCTCCCGTTGTTTTTAGTCCAATGAAAAATTATCTTGGCGAGAGACATCTCACGAATGAGGCAGAAGTTGAATATTAAGTGAAAATGTGGTTTAGAAAACAGAGCACGCAATTCTATGGAGCAGATTTTGGAAGACTGATAAAACGATGGGACAAGTGAATCAATGTTGGTGGAAATTTTGTTAAAAAATAAAGGGACAGTGTATGTGTACAAATAAACGATTTTCAAGTTGTTATCGTATTTTAAACAACCATTTGTGACTTACATATTGACTTACGACAGTAACATTATTAGATAAGCGACTTGTTGAGCGACATGTAGCGGAGACGCTGTTTCGAATACTCATTGAGATCATAAAGGTTGTGTTGTCATGCCGGGGAAAAGCGTACAAATCCCAGCATCCAACAGTTTATGGCATCAGCACTAAACCGGGTCTTTGAATCGTCAGACGTGAAACCATCGCCCTTTTACCCTGTACCACACCGCCATAAAAGGTCGTACAAACAGACAGTAAAGCAGTGTGGGTGTTATTGTACCTTAATAGCTACAACACTTGCCTTTCGAACAGCTACTGTGAATGTTTAAAAATCCCCCCCCCCTTTTTTTTAAACATTATTTTCTCTGTTCAATACGCAAGTAAGACCAGAGAGCAAGCAATACAATGTATTCAATTCTTTAAAAAATCACCGCTGGAACTATATCGCCCATGCACTCAAAATGGATAAAACAAGACTTTACCATCAAGCACTCACATGGACACCAGAAGGAAACAGGAAGCGGGGAAAACAAGAGAAAATCTACGTAGAATCAGCGGTGTCTCCAGCTTCCAAGAGCCGATGGTGGTAAAAACATAATCAGGAAAGGCAACAACCGCCCTAGGCCCAAGAGGAAAGACTAACTAACTAATGTTTGTCCTTGCCCAGAAAAGAGAGCAGGATATTGTCTGAGAAGGAAGGGTGGACATTTGAGCCATGGACCATGGAAGACAAGCTGTTTATAGGAAGTAATAAGAAATTTGACGTAAGCTCGAGTAAAAGGACGTCTTAACATGGTCACAAGATAAGATACGAGTATCATGTCAGATTTTTTTTTTTTTTTTTAGTTCAAGGAGAGTTGCGTTCCGTACGATTAAATTTTATATTTTTCTTCTTCTTCTATCATCGTTCGCGTCAAATATATTATCTATATCTGCAATGTCGTCTCTAGTATTCACTGTCTCTTGTAATTCACTCAGCAACCCGTAAAATTTGGCTTGTTCTGGTGTTTCTCTTGTTCAAAAGGGTTTTGCCTTGATATGTTATTTTTGGGACAGTCTTGGAGGGAGGAATCTGCTGTCTCGTGTGCCGGTCTACATGTAAACATTGCTTTTAAGTCAGAGACACTTTCATGAAATTGGAAATTGATTTCTGTTGAATGTTGATTTTATGTATACTTTACGGGGCCAATAAAAAACGTATTTGACATCAGTTCAAGTGTGAAGATGCCGGTTTGAACTTCTATGATGGTAAATATGACATTTTTGTGATGTAAGGAGAATAAATTGGTCCATAGTAGTTCTTTTTTACGAGTTTATCGAAAGAAACGCAACTAGTGCATTGTTAGTTTCGAAAACTTGTTGTAACCTGTAAAATACGATTGAATAAATAAATGAATAAGCTTATACATTTGTATGTACTACCCAAAAAAAATGTGTATAATAAATAAGTAACGAGATAAATAAATAAGTTTTAAAAAAATATCCTGGCTTGAAAATAAAAAGCATTTAATGTTTGAAGATATAACGGAAAATAGTAAATGGAAAAAATTCCCTCAACAAATAAACACGTAATGGCTTGTGAAAAATTAAACAGTAATAAAATTAAATACTAGTAGATCTTTACCAGCAAAGGAAAAAGTGTTTTTGAAGCATTAAGACCAAAACCAGAAAGTTGATGGCAATAATCAACTCTGTGTCCCAATATATTCTCCTTACAGGCGAGCTGTCAGAGTGGCGTGTGCGATGATTTCAAGAGTCAAATGCTTGAGCTGTGGAACTCGTCGTTTGTTCGTGCAGTGCTTCAATTCTTGGCTCAGTGTCCGTGTGTTTCCACTCGTTATTTCTCTTCACATTTCGACATCTAGTGCCAGGTAATATCTAGAAGTTTGTGCGAGGAGTTGTCAGTTTTTGTTTCCTTTCTGTTATCTTAGCTGCTTATGGAGTATGCGAATTCGATCATCTCTCATTATAAACCATAGCATTATTTGCTATCTCTTGCAATTCCTTTGATGCATTGTGGTTATCAACGGGCTCATGGAGTACTCAGTTTCGACCATCTTATCAAAGGACATCACATTATTTAATATCTCTTGTCATTCCTTTGATGCTTTGTTGTTACATAACTGCTGAGGGAGTATGCACTTGACTCTGTAGCAGCTGCAATAGGGTGCTCCCGTTGCACTTTCTACCATCTAATCTTCTTATTCCTTGTTCACTGGCTGTAAGTGCAAAGACCTGGATGTTCGTTAATTTGGACTTTGGCTTTGCGCCAGGACCTGAGTTTTGCGTGTTCACCCATTCTACTGGCATTTTTGGCTGCAATTGGTGGTTCACTGCCGCTCTGGCAGTTAGACTCCGATTTCACAGAAAGCTCCCAATTAGGTTACTCCTACGCTATGCTGGTTGTGGAGGCAGTGGGTCTATTCCTGTTTTGCCCACAATGAGACCATCTTATCAAAGGCTTCCACATTATTTTATATCTTTTGTAATTCCGTTGATGCGCTTCTGTTATCGAGCTGTTCAGGGAGTATACACTTTCGACCATCTCGTCAAAAGCAACCAATGTTTCTTGAGTAGTTGCAGTAGAATACATCCCTGCCGGCTTACTAGGCCCGTCGCGCAAGACAAATACAGAAAACCTCGACACTGGGTTACACTACAGCCTGGTAACAGTGAGACGACAAAAAAAGAAAACACGAAGAAGAAGAATCGAAAGCCATCACATTATTTGGTATCTCTTGTAATTACTTGAATCATTGATTGGATTATTTTGAAAGACGCCAGGTTCGATCCCAGCTGCAGGCCCTGCGCCTTGCGTTGGTTACCTCAGTGGTATCGAGAAGCCGACAGTCCAGCAAGCAATGGCAACTGGACGTCAATTTGCCTAGAATAACCACAACAGCCAAAACATGTTGGGGTTGGTTCTGCAAAGTCCTG